AAAAGTGAATTTCCTTAGTGTCCTCTCCTTGACAGTATAACTACCTATATTTCAAATATGGTGTGTTGTTATATTTAAGTTTATCGTAAGATTTATCACGCAAAATTAATGAATTTTACATGAAACTTAAAAATAACTGTTATCTTATGTGGGTTTAGTATCCGTTGGTGGGAACAGATGATCTTTATCTTTCTCCCAGCTATTAAATGATGTCACAAAATCAAATATGCTCAGTAAAATTAAGGGGAATATGGACAGTACCGAAATCTTGTTATTTTCTTTTCATGAGGACTATTTCTATTATCTCGACCAACACGCCCTTTGAGTTCCTCTTCCTTCCATAAACGTCTTCCTGATAATACCTTAGGCCAAATTACAGCAGTACTTGTGTCACCTCTTTTAATATTAAATCCTTTAAATCAGTAAAATCACTTTTGAAGGATTTGAGTTTAATTTTAACGCTGAAAACTACCTGAGGAAATCATGGAAGACGAAAGAATGTTGCAAGAAAGCTGACAAGTTCAGGAGGTATAATTTCTACGAAGAAGAAAGTTGCCAACAGAGGTCCAAGAGAAGTTTTCGTGAAACAACGAAGAACAACAGCAACTGCCAGAGAGCCCAATGCCTCGAATTTTTCCTGTTTGTGGCGCTACCTACTTCGATGAAAATCAATGGCAGGGTTGAGTATAATGTTGGGGATTTTGTTCATCCTGGCTTCATTAAGGAATATGCCCAGTTAGAAGGTGACTTCTAGTGTAATGAGTGAAACGTATGGTACAAGTGCAAGTCCTCATTAAGTGTTTTTTTTATTTTTACGTTTGTAACAATGTGTGTTAATAGTTTATCTGATTTTAAACATTCTATTATTTTTAATTTATTGATATGACCTTGGACATTTTTTGATACAATTTGTTCAGTAATAAATTCTTAATTTTACTTCTTATATAATATACCATACATGCGTGTAAAAATGCATTTCTCTTTGGAAAAAGTAAATGTATAGATGTCAGTTTCTCTTATCTTTTCTTTAATGCAACCTGCTCATATTTCCAGCAATTGTGCCAATATTACCTGAAGTATTCGTCAAATAAGGGCAATTGCAGAATTTGTTGCATAGCTTCTTCAAACACATAGAAACAAAAATTGGTTTGGTCGTATGCATTGGGAAATACCATACTCTACAGTTTTAAATAAATTAAGTTCCGAAAAATGGGCAGTGTTTTAGAGCAGAGTATACTTTCAAATAAATGTTTTGGTGGCCATATTTGCCAAATTTACTACTGCATTATTATTTTAGTGAGTGTATGCATTATTATTTTTTTATATCTATGGTTCAATTATTATCTAAGTATTTTCGTTCCGCCGTATTACATAACAGATGATTTAATTCAGATTTGCAATTATCTGATGTTGCAATAAAGAATTAATGGCATTAAAACTGAAGAGAGAAGACTTAGTAAAAAGGAGTTTTCTGTCGAGATTAGGAAATTCATGTTTTCATTTTTTAACCGAAGATCTTCTGTATGTGATTAAGCGTAATGATTTAAGAGTATCAACCTTCTTGAAATCAAAACGGCGTATATAAAGGGAAAAATCAATTATATTTATTTTTCTTCTTTATACTGTTTGAAAAGAAAGCATTTACCCGCATCTTTAATCGGCTTACATTTCACTCTAGATAAATACTTTCAAAATCCTATCTGAAGATTATCCCTTTACTGGGGATATTTAGAACTTGCTCGGATGCACAAATACAAAAAGGAAAAAATTCTGACATTCACAGAGAACTACACAGCTGTTAGCAAAAGATTTTATCAAACCACTCACACTTGAATTTGGGTAACAGTCGCCAAGAAAGATTTTCGCTACTTAGTTACGTAATCGGATTACTTTTATTCGAGTTTTTGAAACTTAAACAAGCATTTTAAAGAAGAGAAGTTTTAGAGAAATGATGAATGTTGCGGTTTGTGTCGTTTCGAAATCTTACATAGTGAAGTTCTATCAAATATAAAATGCACAAAATTCACATTCCTATCATAAATAACTCTGGAAATTAAATTGAAATTGCTGAATATTAAGAGAATATGAACTTTTATTTTATTCTTACAATATCTAAGCTCATGGGTAAATTAATGATATCTTATTTGTGTGTTCTAAATTATTCGATAATGCTCGGTACAATATTCCATAAAAACTCAATGTTACATAACGGAGAGAAATAAAAAATTCACACATTCGTTATTCTTCACTCTATAAAAGGTAACTAACAGGTTGCAAACTTTTTGAGTGGTTACTTACTAATAGGTATTGCAATCATAATGTTTTGATTGTTAAACAAAATAAATTAATAATTTTGTGCATTGTTTTGAAAAATGCATGCCTTTAATAATTTTGAAATATTATTTGCATGTTTTATTTTGAATATTTGTTAATACATTTTGCAAATAAAGTCGTATAAGAATAATAGTTTTCATATATATGCAAAGCTGAGCGACAAACTAGCTAAGATGCATATGCTATTTGAGGAGAATTGTAACCAATCAAACTAGTTCAGTCTACTTGTTTTATATCAATGATGTGGTATGATAAAGCTATATTTATGTATTATATTGCTAGATATAATTCTGTTATTACCTAATTATCGTTACCCAAACTTAAATGACGTTGAAAAAGAATTTATAGTCAGTGCTCATGAGATAATTCTCGAGATTTCTGAGATAGAGATGAAATTTAACCTTTGCGTAAGGTCAATGCGCAGTATTATACCTGAAAGTCATACATGGACAAAAGGTATCAAATCTCAGACAGCGGTGGATGATTAAAGAAAAACCCAGAACAAATGAAAAAATCGGCATCTTCCAAAATTCTTTTTTCGATACATACATGCAACAGAGTCTCTAAGAACTACATAGTTTTTGCTGGTTATGTACAAAAGCTCGTGTACAAGATGTTGAAGTATATCTCCTTTACTGGGCATTCGAAGCGAAAACTCTACTCGCGAATAATTACTAAAAGCAAAGTACGAAGCCAAACACACTTTCCCTGAACATACAAGTACCATCATTGTAACATTGCTGTAATTTCGACATTTCTAAAACATTTGTTTCTTGATTACTCATTTGTGCATATGAGGAAATATTTCTCCTTCTCTCAGAATTAATCAAGATTTCCTAATGGGGAATCGCTTTATAAACTTATAATATGCACATATGTGCAGTTCTATCTATACACTACTGATACTACAATTTGAGATTATACTCTTTTGGAGCGTTAAATAGATGAGGGTATCGATGCGCGTGACATCATCACGGATGTGACCTTTTCACCGTCACAGATCGAAAATGCTTTGTCAAATAATACAGAACGTTACAGATCATTGCCGCCTTCAAAATTCTCAGAAAAGTATTTCTCTTCATTTCTCTGAAGAGGAAACCCGGGTTTGAACCGGAACCTTCGAACTGCAGCCGAATGCTTTACCACTGAGCTATACCCCGTCAGCTAACATTTGCTATGCGTTCCGTAGGAACGGATACGAAAATGCTTTGATTAGAAATATTTAGAACGGGACAGGTCATTCCCGCCTTCGAAATTCTCAAAATTATTTCTCTTCACTTCCCTGAAGAATGGGGTATCTTGGTTTGAACCGGGGACCTCTCGATTAGCAGTCGAATGCTCTACCACTGGGTTATATTCTTCGTGTCTGCGAACCTTTGCTTTGCGCTGATTTGTGATGTCACCACTATTAGGGAGAGATCGTCCTTCGACTACAGATCTTCGCTGATGCATTTGTTTGAACACTTTTTGTTATTAAACCAAACATACTTAAAGAAAATTTTAAAAAAAAATTAGTAAATTAATCCTTAAATTGTGTTTCATGTGCATAAAACATAAGATTAAATATTAGTTAACCTATTTAAATAACAATTGCAAGTATATGATTATAGATGTATTTACTACGAACGCACTGCGATGAACATAAACACATTTATTAAATTGTAGCAAATTATTAGAGCTTTTGTATTCGTATATTTATTTTTGAAGTTATTCTTCTTTTTGGACGCTAGGGAAAGAGGATGAGGATAAATTTTTACGATCCGCGCGCCCACCGTCACGAATGCATGCGCATACCTTCACGACACCGATGCAGTCGCGCACACTGTAGTCTAATATTTTAACATGCCACTTTTTTGGTGCTATGGGACTGATATTTGGGGGATCATATTAACTATTGTTATAAACCATATCTGTTTGAACGCATCCCCTGTGCATTCCCCCCTCTACAGCTTTTTGGCCAATATCTCGGCACCCGAGCCTCACAATGCATTAGGACTTGGCTCATTCAATCCTCTCTATCTGTTCTCTTCCAGTTATTATAAATAATGCTCATAAGGCTATTTCTTTCATAGTTTTGAATTGTCTTAAACTTTAAATTTTTTTTAAATTCACAATATCTTGGCTTCTGTTCGAGTCCCGGACTTGAGATTTAAACCAAGTGTTCCATTCGTCTAGACCATCCAGTCATCTGCTTCATTCCCATTGTGTAGGCATGTGGGATGGCTTAAGCACTAAAATATCATGCTCCCATGTTAGTCCTATGTGGACTGGGAAACATTTCACTGCCCTCTAAGGAATTGAGCAAGGAACTTGATTTTTGCAGGTCCGCCATATTTTTTATTAGCGTGAGCTTTACGTGGAATTGGCCCCCTCCCCCCTACAGGGCTTCCCCTGAAATAACTCGAATCCTATGCCACCTTGGTCGACCGCACCGGCTGGATTCGATTGTTCTTCCTACGAGCATCCTACATGTATATATTTTCCAGGACCATAACCTCATTTCTTTAAACATATTTAACATTTTAAAATTATTTTAAAGTTATAATTTTTTTTAAATCCCACATAGTTCCGAGGATTTTTGACATTCGTTAATAAAACTGGGACCATAGATTCTCCTCTTTGAGCTGTTTCATCTGTAATAATTCGTGTGTAGATAGTGGAATTGAAGGCCGGCGTTATCACTAAAATTAGATCCCCATGTTTTTCCTATGGGGCTCGATCTTTTGATGACGTAACGATATTACAGAGATAGAAGGATGAAACTTTAGGATCACCTACTACTCTGTGTATCGTTGGGATGTACGTGACCATTTACGTCACAGTCCCCCCTCCTTGGGGAGTTAGTTTCGTTTTCCTTTCCGGAGCTAGCACCGCCCCATTCGCAACTACATACTCCGGACCAGTTCTAATAGATTACTCTTTGCTCAGCAACCAGGCCCAGTTTCGAGTTGCTGGGTGTCCTGCTTCTGTTTTATTTAATTGTTTTAAATGTTTCATTTATTTTAAAATTAGCATAACTCAGGAGCTCTTCAGGCGGATGTCTCAATTTTCTTAGGAACGATTATTCCCGCCGAGACATTAATTATGAGGTCTCAGGTGCCACATTCGCTCATTTTATCTCCAGAATAGTTGATACCCCCTGTTATTGTTCCTTTTGTCCCTGTGTGGGAGTAAATTTATTTAAATCGTGATTATCTCAGGTTTGGCTGGTCCAATTGACTGATGGGTAGTATCGTTGAACTCTGCTCGTGACCGCCCTTGGTCCGGCTTGCCTTGCTAAAGATTTTAAGAAATATTTTAATCTTCTTACGCCAAAGAAGTATAACTTCTTAAGTGCGTACATAAGTACACACAAACTTTTTTTAAAATTATTTTGTTTTATTTTTTATGTATTTTTAACTGAAATATAATCTACCTCTATTACGCTAATTTAATAACATCTTAGTTCCTTCTTCTGAGACAAAATCAAGTCATAAGGACAAACCCAGGATTGAGTTTCCCATCACTAATATTACTATAGTAAAGGGAATTCCGATACCCTGCTTCAGACAAATCCTAGAACTTTTGAAGCAATGCCTCTAGGAACACTTTTGAGTTAATGAATGCCTAAAGTTAGGTAATCAAATTTTCTGCAGCACCTTCTACTTTTTAATCAATTAGTAGGAGCAACATAACGCAATGTACTGTACTTTGAATAATAACCTAAGTGTATGAAACTTCTACAATATTCGAAGGTTGCATTTTTTCGCTAAAGGTCCCATAAGAATTTTTACTACTTTCTCTACATTTTAATAAAAACCGTGTTATGAAAGAGCCATAACATTTGTATAACCTAAGTATAACTCTGATAAAAGCTATGTTCTGATTTCAAAACTGTGTGTGATATTGAACTATTTTTGTACATAACAGTTAAAGTCATTTCGGGGAAACAGTACTGAATTTTAAAATCAGGTACTTCTGAAATAAACCTTAGAAGATCATATGAACCACGTTTTATTGAATTATTTAATGCTAATTGTAATGCATTTTACATGACAAAGAGTTAATAAAAAAATTGCTTGTGCATGACATTTTTTTTTTAACATATGAAATATATCTGCATGGCATTTTCTTGAGTCTTTGAGTTACCATGTAAATAATTATGATATATCAATTTATTTAAAATAATTAATTGATCCATTTATTGAAACATAGCCAGATGTACTCAGCAAAATCCATAGAAATTGGTACTAAATTCCAAAGCCTTGTTTTGTTGATCAACTATGTATAAAATAATGCTACAGCATAATATTTTGATTACATTTAATTTTCTTTACATCTCACTTAATTATTTTGTAAAAATCAGGTTAGAATTCATTTATATTCACAAATTTACTATAAGCTGAATGGAATCGCAAAATACAAAATGCATACACAGAAATGTGTTATCACTTTTTATGTTTAATCCTCTTGTAAGTGTGAAAGACATAATTACAAGAACTTTTCCTCCGTAGTTTTTGAAATAATTTTTCTTCTTTTACACATTTGCATTATTTTAATGCAGAATTATATAATAAATTTGTCTTTTCTGTAAATCAGCTGAGTGTAAGTTATTTTTCTTTGAAAAATTACCTTGATTTTATCTGCATATTTCTATGAGAATACTACTATTAAACTATTTAAAATGTTCAGCTAGCCTCATTTTCCCCCCTTAAACATTAGACGCTTGTTTGCTGATGGAATTTGTGTAGAATTTCCTCACTGGCGTTTTTTCAGAACGGAGGAACAAAACATCACTTGGTAACTAGCCAGACTGATTAATGACATGTATCTTTAAACCTTAATTAACCTGAATAAATTGTTATTAATTATTCACACTCGTGTTTTTGCATTTTTACTCACTAAATATTTGAACAATAGTTTGTGTAAACCCTTGTAAAAGATGTAAATATTACAAAGAAAATTAAAAAAATTTATGCAGAAATGAACGTATGTTGAAATTAATAATTAACTAGGGCTCAAAAATAATTTGAACTTTAAAGTTTATAGAATTATTGTTTCTTTTAAAGAAAAAGATATTTAAAGTAGAAACTTATGAAATATATTGAAAGCTCAAACAATAAATTAAGACATATTTTAAAAACGTTTAACTAACTGCTTAGCATGAAAATGGAAAAAAGAGTATAGATTAAACTAAATATTAATAAAAAATATGTTTTTATTAAGAAATCAAGTATTATTACTTAAGTGACTACCTACCTTCGGACCCAGTTTTTATATAAAAACAAATTTTGAAACAAATTGAGTGTGTTTTTAGGAAGAAGAATAAAAAAAAATATGTAAATGCATCAAAACTTTTAAATAAACATTTTACTTTTAGAAAAATGGGTTGTTTTCAAGGAAATTTTACCAAATTTTTACTAAAACGGGAAGCACTTTATAAAAATTTATAATAGAATTATCATAATTTTCTTTATACACAACATACATATTACGGTGCTCTTCAAAATGAAGCAAATTCTAAGAGAAATATTAAAATACAAAAATATTACAGACAATTATACATAATAATATGGATATATTGATATTTTTAAAGTTTTTTTCTTTATAAAAGCTACCTAAATGAAAAAAAAATATTTAACCTACAACAAAACTTATGGTTCTTTTTATGAAAAATAGTATAATAAACATTCCCATAAAATTTCAAAACGTTATTTGGGTTGGTGTTTAAGATATCATGTATCTGGTAAAGTGTTTCTTTCAAAACACAATTTTGAGACAAACTCATTTAAAGTTTTATCTTATTGCCCTTTTGTATAGAGTGATGCTTTTTAAAATCACTATAACTTTATAACTATTTCGCGTAAAAAGAAAAGAAAAACTGTTTAGGAAGAAAAATGTTCAACTATCGATTTTGAAATAAAAAAAACTGCTTTCTATTTATCCATTGCAAATACATTTTTTCTCGTAGTGTTTGACATTTGATGTTAATTTAGTTTTTTAAAAATATAAATTCATTGATTAAATAAAAAATTAATAAATAGTAAAAAATAATCATAGTCAAACATCATATATAAAAAAGAAAACACACACGTTCGTTTTGTGCCTGTAGCGTAATGTATAAAGTGTTGGACTTCCAATAGAAAGGTCATGGGTTTAATTAATGAATAAATAGTAACA